TTTGGAGCTGCAGATAGCACCCCCTGTCATCAGGGCAGAAAATGGGGAGCCTCCTGCCTAATTAACGCCATGATTTGTATCATCAAGGTGTGGCAGGTGAGAGAGGTGGCTGGTTAGCTCAGGAACAGGTGGGTGGGAAGGCCCCTGGGTAAACATGCCTTAAGTCAAAATGTAACTTGGAGCCAATTTTCCCATAGGGAACAACATTATAAATGGGGGATTGGTTCCTGAACCAAGGCCCAATACCCTATTTTCACCAAAAATAATCCATAATTTTGTACTCAGTGAATTATAGATGAGTAATACAGCTACATTAATGTATTTATATTGTAAATAGCAATCATTGGATTTCTTTGAGGTGTCTTTGCTGGACTTTTTGAAGGGTTCTTGGTTGGAGTCTTCTCAGGAACCTTGGCTGCAGGTTTTTCTGGAGTCTTGTCTGCTTTCTTGAAAAAAGTGTCCGAGGAAGTTTGGACAGATGTTCTTCTGAGAGATGGGTGACTCAGCGAACTTGTTCACTGGTGTGGCGTCGTGTCAGGTCAAGCGTCATAAAGTTGAAACCAACATCAGAAAGTCAAAACAGAGTGTCAATTTATAAACATTTTAAGTGCCATTCATTTGAATCAAAATGCTTTGAGTCAAGGACTGCTTATATCTTATTCTCTCATGTACAGGTGGAGTCATTTGTGATAGACTTCAAATACAGTCCTTCCAAAATTTTCTGTGGTGAAGTTAGGCCCTTTAGAGCCCTGTTCTGAGTATGTATGTGTCTGCAAAGAGATCCTAGGAAATTTTCTGTAAACTCCAATGAAGGTGGTGCAGGTGGGCAGTAATGTAACTAGGGTGGCATTATCAAATTCATTGGGTGGGGAGGGAGAGAAAAATAACAAGTACCACTCCAGCTGCACTGGCAGCCAGAACTCACTGCTGCCCCGTGCATCACTGCTGCTCAGGTGCCTAGCTACTGTTATATCTTTTCAGATAGGGTTCTGCACAATCAGATAAATTCAGGAATTCAACTCTAGCCATGAGTTGCTGATAGGTTTCAAGTGTTTTTATGTTGAACTTAAATTTCCTTCCTTGTTTGTTTAGACTCTTCAGGTTGAGGTTGATTCTGGTCTCTTAAAAACATTCAGAGACTAGAGAAGCATAGTTTGTTCCCTGTTGATTGTTATTTTTCATTAATAAACAAGTGGTGATATTTGGGCTTTGAGACTGATTAGATGCCTCCAATTGCTACTAAGTGGCACAGGGATAGGTGGGTGAGCAGGGCACGAGTCCCAGATGCTGCTTAAAAGGGGGATGGAGGATGCCAGAATGGAGCATGGGGTGCCTCATCCTCCCAGCCCCCCAGTCTTCCTAAACCCAACAGTAAGCAGTGACTGTGTGTGTGTCAACAAATGAAGAGCACTTTGAGACATGCAGTCCTGTGCAGCAGCAGTGGCTGAAGTTCACTTTTGCAGGGGGAAACATTTGCTGCTGAGAACAGGAGGGTTTTTTTGGCATTCCATGTGTGTGCCTGTGGTAAAAAATAGTGACATGTCCTGCTATCATCAGTAAACTTCAGCTGCTGCTTTTATGTGTGCCTACTACCAGACCTTCTGGAGCCAGAGAAGGTACAGGGAGAGGGATGCCTTTTTTCTATCATGGTCAGGGGATATATCTCCACATGCTATTAGCATGCAGCAGTAAACTGGCACAGATCATGCTAGAGTTTATTGCTTCCAGGTGCACCATTTAAACATGATCTGCAGCAGGGATCTCTGGGTTGGAGACCCTGGAGGGTCAACCTGCCAGCCTGGGGCTGCTCTGACCCAGCTCAACATGTTGAGGGGCTGGCTAGGGAATGAGGGTGCACCAGTGTCGGGCTAGCTGGCAGGCACCCCTGCACTGAATCACCCTAACGCCCCAGCCAGCCGTGTCAGCCTCCACAAGTGCACTGCTGCAGAGGTTTTTTTTTTTTGTTTTTTGTTTTTTTTACTCCACAGTAGAATCGTACTTGTTAAAAAAACAAACAACCCCCCCAAACCAAAAAAAAACTTGTATTCACAAATACTAACTCCCTGCAGAGTTTTTAGTTCCCTGTGGCCTAATAGGGCTTTTACTCCATGAGATTTTACTCTGAAGCTAATTAATCTACTCCATAGTAAACATCTAGTGTAGACGTGCCCAGGATCATGACTTTTATGAGGAATTTACATTTGGTTGCACTCACTTCCTACCCACCATATATCCATAATTGCTATGTAGTTCTTTGCTGACAAAAAGAAAACATTATGTGCTGAAAAGTAAAACAGCAATTAATGGAGATTTTGCAAATGATAAATGTTATATTGTACCATTATACAAACCAACATATATAATATATTCTGTAATATCACTGTGTATTTTTCTCCCTCCTATAAGGGTGATATAATTTCTCAGACACTGGATGAAGTCTTGGCTAATAACCGATGTGATACTCTAATGTATTGCAAATAGCAAAAAGTCAAATTTACAGGATAGGTGTTAAGCCACTTCAGTGAAGTGTGGCTAATATTGTATAGTGTACAAGTGTATTCTGTCAGTGTGACCCAAGCCTTATTAAACTTAATTGTAAGTGCAAACACTCCCTTTAAAGCATCATTCTTTTGCTTCTGAAGGCAGCTGTTTTTGATTTGCTAAGCAGCAGCTTTATACTTAAAAGGACCAGAGCCACTGTGTTGCGAATGACAAGATTGACTTTTGAGTATGATTTATGCAAGGAGAAACAGGATGTCAAATTAAGAAGTCCCCCCTGCCCCTGCCCCCCATAAAAGAAAATTGTTTCATCATTTTTAAAGCAGTTTATAATTAAGAAAACAAACTTCTAATCTCCATTTCTCAGGATTATAGTACTTTATAGTCAAGTACCAGCCTTATCAGAAATGGTTAGCAATTTGGCTCTGTTCTCACAAAGAAAAACTTCTTAAAAATAAACATCATGCTTCTCCAATTGGTTTGATTCTACAGCATTTAAATAAGCAAATACTGTTTTCATTTTTTTCCTTTTATTTTGATTCTTTTTGTTTCATTTTCAAAATGTTTACTTTAACGTTGAACATGTAACTCTCTTTCAGGAAATAGCTAAGCGTGGACAACTTGCCAAAGAAGACTTAATTCATGGTTGTAGCTATTATTGCAAGTGGCCGATGCTATATATATCCCAGTTAACACCACATTTGCAATGGAAGCAATATCTTGCAGGCCATGGTTGGTTGGTTTAATTCTATTTTTATTCTGTTGTATTGTAGATTTAAAAAGCGAAGACCCACCTCCGCCTCTTTTGGAGCTTTTTTTTGGCACAAATGCAATATAGTAATAGATTAGATATCATTAAGGAGGATTCCTGTAAGTGAGGATTCCTGTAAGTGTTTGTTTCCTTAAATTGTTTTAGAGTTATTTTTCTTATTAAACTTCTTTAAAGAAGCATGCATAGGCAGAATTTAGAGGCTTTAACATTTAGTCAGTTTATATAGAGACTGCATGATATAGCTTTTAATCAGCCAGTTTACTGGAGTGAATTGTATCTATAATCTGCATTGAAATAAAAAGACAGTGACTTTACATGATTGTTTGATTAACCAGGTGCTAAAAGTGTTTATCTCACTCATGGCATTGAGTATTGCCAAGTATGATTTATCAAATGCAACTCCAGCATGTGCATTGAGATTTACTAGAATTAGATGATACAGGGTTTACTAGAATTAGATGATACAGGGTTAAAAAGTGTCAGATTAATTCCATATATTATATGCACTATCTTCTCATAAAGTATCTTTTTTCATTTGATTTTATATAACCATTTTTGACTGGTCTTCTTAAAAATATTTTCTTCAACATGCAGTTGTGTATGGATGTATGAATATGCATGAATAGAAATATATGAATAAATAATTTTTAATTCATGTAGGTATATATATATTACTGTCTTTGGTCATAGTGGACATCTTGAGCAAAGAGATGTCTTTTGCTTGTATTTAAAATCTTATTGAATTTATATGGCACAGCAGTAATACTCTGCAAAGGATGGCATTGGTAATTTGCCAGAAATCAGTGTGTTGTGTATAGTGTTGCATAAAAATGACTTAGTCTGCAGTTATCTGTTGGGTAGATGTATGACATGTTGAGGCTACTTCTTTTTGTCCTTAGTGACTTCTAGCTGTATCAATATAGTAAAAAAGCCTCCAAGGATTGTACCTTCACTGAAGATGTAAATAAATTAAACTGTGTGATGGAACTCTGTTTTTAATTTGGTCAGCAATTTGCAGCTTCATTATTCCAGAAAATGAAAATTATGACAGAAGAAATAATAATACTGTGTTCTAAAATTAATACTTTCAGGTTACATTTTTACATTCACAGGGCCTGATCTAAAATCACCTGGCTTACTTTAAGCTGAATGATTAAAAATTGGGTCCTGCTTGTTCAGACATTCACTGGTGTCAGGAGCTGCACTAGGAAAGCAATCTAAGTATGTTGGGGGTGGGGCAGGCAAGATTGGGGGGTCTAGTTGATTTGAGGGGGAAGGGGGTTTTGGGCCCAGGTGGTGCTGGAGGGGAATGTGGGTCTGCAGAAGAAGCGTTGTCCATCTGGAGGTAGGGGGGTAATGGGCTAAAAATAACCTAGTCAAAGTTGGATGCAGTAGGAAAAGTGCAGCCCTAGTTCTGGGGTGGGTTTCTAGGCTTTCCCAACCCCAAGGCTAAACTTTGAACATGTACAGACATTCATTAGATTGGGTTAACCTATTCCTGATCTAACTTGGTTCACCTCTTAGGCCATTTGTACATATCGGCACTTAGATAACCTAAGCCTAGGTAGTTTGTACTTACCCTTAGAGGTCAGGTAGATCCTGGTATTCATAGTCTGTTCACTGTAAACAGCTTTGCAATTCACTGAAGCTGCATACTTAAAATATATATATGGAATCATAGGACCAGGAAAAGGCTGCTCAGACATATCCACCATAATATGGGGATTTAAGGAGAATTGTGGAAATAAAATTAGACTCATCTTCCTTAATTTACGTGTGATGTTATTGTCCCCTCCTATCATTCTAATAGGCCTATGTCGGAGCATGTCTTCCAGCCAAAGGGGAACAATACTGATTCCCTCTAGAACCTTTTAACATTATTTGAAGTGTTGCCTGAAGGCTGTCATTTGAGCTCAGTGCAAGATTTGACCTCTTTGTGCTAAGAATGATGTCCCCACAATATTTTCATCCTTACACTGTCCGCCTTGTTAATTGGAGATATTCCCATAAACCTCGGTATTTTTGTTTCCTGTTAAAATGTACACTGTAAAATAAGCTATTGCAAAGGAATTGCACTTGATTACAACACTTGACCTTTGCTTTTAGATGATTAATATTAAGAGCACATAAGCAATGGGTCATGCATCGTGCTGTAAGCACAACAGGTGTGCTTTTAAAATTGGTTTTGCACCTCTAGTGAGAACAAAATCCCCAACTTATTCATGAAAAACATAATTTCGCATACAAATGGAAAATTGCCCAGCTTTCATATGCAAATATAGCTTTCTGCAAGAATGTGGATGTGTGTGTACATTTCTGGGAGTGCCGCCATTGTATTGAAATATGTGGTCCAACTAGGTAAAATGCAAATTAAATATTCTAATTAACAAAGACTTGAGCACAGACCAGCACATTTTAAATATGTTTGTTTTTATTTGGGTTATCAGATTCTGCTTTCGCCTGCTCTGTTCTCTTACTAACCTAATTTTCATCTACTACCTGCTGTCTTTGTGCATCTGCCTCTCAATTAAGCCTTACACCTGCAGTGGTTTCATTGTACAGGCTGCAACCATTAACTCTCTCTATTACAGTTGGGTTTATTTAATTCCTCTTATGACATGAAAATGAGACAATATACTTCTAAAAACAACAGAAATGGAATGCTTCCCATTTGCGTGGATTGTTGGTTAACAAGATGTTTAATTAGAATGATTAAACAATAAAGATATTTGGATTTTGTTTTATATTCTATTTAAAACATATTCCGTGTAATTAATCAAGTCCCTAGAAAGATGGCTGTCATTATTATTCCATTTTACAGGGGCACAAAGCGATTAAGTGAGCACAGTAAGTCAGTGTCAGATATGACTAGGTTTCTTGACAGCTATCCCCTCACATTTACTGACTTCCATTGAGCCTGATGGGAGACTCCCAGGATACATATATGATGAGAAAGATTGGAAAAGACAAAATATTTGGCACAAGCATTTTTCCCAGCAAGAGAATATGGTTTCAAAATCCAGCAAAAACATATATAGAGTACAGCCAGAACAGATTTCGGCTCAACTGGAGGAGATGTCTAATGAGTTTAAATCAGTATACACGCACACCTTAGTTTAAATGACAGGTGTAAAATATTTGTTTCCCTTCAAATTAGCTTGTATCTAAACCTAAATTTCTCTCCTTTTCATCTTCAAGGTAGAGAGACTATTTTGCTCTTTAGATTGAAGGTGTTTTACTCCTTCAGACAAGTGTCTTGAATGGCCCCCAGATCTCAATGAGCTCTTCATCTTTGTTTCAGTAGATTTAGGGTTGTACCTGTCTGTTAACTTTGGATGTAGTGGTATAAAATTTCATCAGAATGTCATCGTATAAATTGTGGGAGCACTTGCAGTTTGACAGTTGGCTGTTGTCCACTTGCAAAAAGGCCTGCTAGGATTTTACTCTAACTGATAATGTGCTTTGGGATGAAAGGTACTAAAAATGAAATATTATGGCAGTATACTATTCTTAATTGGGATGGCTCCTTATTAGAAAACTCCCAGATAACTAATTTAACCTAAAGATAGTGTATTTTAATGACTGTTTTTTAATTGACCTGAATTAGCATAAATTCTGCATAATGATTGTTAATTTAGTAGTGCTAAGTAGGTAAATGGCTTTTGAAAAAAGTGAAATTTTAAGTCATTGGAGGACATTATTGCCCCTTTGAAGTAGATGGCACAACACTCTGTGCATTCACTGGGCAAGAATCCATTGTCTCCTATCACAGGAAGCTGGCAAATTGAAATATAATGATATAGTATATAATTTCTCATAAAACACGATCTTGGCTAGTTTCCAGAGGCATCAAGACGAACATTAAGGAATTTACAATTTTCTGTTGGTAATTTTGCCCCTCCTTGGTTGTCCCATCATTAATGCTGCTTTACGATAGTGATGTTGTATGCTCGTTCTTTGAGGTTTTTGTTGACCATTTCACCTCCACTCTGCAGGTGTTTCCATTCTCATGCATCTTTGTCAGCATAACACTATACTTTTCCAAACAGCCTTTTGCTTGAATGACAGCCTTCCTAGCTAGAGAAAGAAATTACACACAAACCAGTATAAGTGGTCAGAAACCAGTTCAGAGCTGTTATACAACAAATATTTAGTGCACATAAACTGTTTTCAAAGTGGCCAAAAAACAGTTAAGATAAACCTGGATAGATGTAGTATCAGACTTAACTAATCTAGCTTAAATCAGTTTATTGAACTTCTGTCACAGATCCCTTTCAGATTCAAGTTAACTCATGGTCCCCCAGCATCCCAGGATGCTTTGCACCTCCCCTGCAAACCCCGTGCCTCACAGAGTGGGTGCACTAGACTTGTCCCAAGCTGTCTGCTTCAGCTGAGCAGGAAGGGGTGCTCTGGCTTCTGCCCTGGGCCACTGCTGGTGTGTGCCTGCATTTCTGGAATCAAAAGTAAATGTCTGTTCACTTGATCAGTTCAGTGTATATGGCTTAGACTAACCTGCAACAATTGAATCAATTCAGCCTTGGGCTTTTTGACTGTCTGTACTTGGCCCCTGAGTCCCCCTTCCTAACCTGTCCATGTTTAAGTCCCTCAAAAAGACTTATTCTGTCATGATGTCTAGTTCATCTAATTAACTTGTATAAAGTCTCTATTTCTTTTCCCTTTTTCCTTAACTCCTTTTTACATGTTGCTTGCCTCTTGGACTGTGAGATCCTCATGGTGAAAAGATGAAGGTGCTGCCATAAGCAAAGAAGGGTTGATTTTTCTAAAATGATCCTCTCTCAGAATTCCCATTGAGTTTTGAGAGAGAATTACTGGGTGCTGAAAACATGACTACTTATTCAATACAGGAGTTGTTGTATCTGCTTTCTTGAACATCTGTCTCCAAATAACTAACATTAATGATAAGCAGAAGCCAAGAATACATGTGCAAAATTGAAAGCTC